TGCTTCGTGTATTAATGCAAGGTTAATGCAAGGATTCACGTAAACGACGCTGTACAGTGCCCATTAAGTTTTAATTTTTAAATAATTGGAGCCACGGAAAAGGGGAGAAAGGTAGGGAACGATAATAGAAAAGTGGGCTGTCCCTGGGTGACCCAGCAGACACCAGAGCGAGGATCCTCCCCAGCCGCAGGGACAGTCGCCCCCCTCCCTCCCACCGCCCTTACCGCTCTTGGGTTTAGACTCGCCGGCCGGCCCCGCCGAGGCGGAGCGGGGCGGCTGTTGCCCTTTGCTGCTGCCGGAAGAGGCGGAGGAGCTGCTGGAGCCGCTGTTCTTGTCCATGTCGGAAGCGGTGGCGGCGGCGCTGGGGGAGCTCTGCGGCATCAACGGGGGCCTCGGCGGCGGCGGCGGTCGGAGCGGAGCGGGCGCGGCGGGGACCCAGGCTCATGGCGTTCGGGGCCGGCGGGGGTCGGCGGCGGCAGCGGTTCTCGGCCTTCATGGCGACATTTTTCCCTGTTTCCTTCCTCGGCTTCTCAAACTGTGAAGAGAAGCGGCGGGCGGGGCTGTCGAGCCCAGAGGCGGCGGTGGTGACAGAGAAGAAGGAGGAGGCCGGGGCTCGGAGGTCCGGGCCGGGCCTGGCGGGGCGGAGGCTGCGGGGGAAGGGGAGGCGAGGGAGGGTGCGCGAGCCCCGCCGGCCGGCCGGACACGCTCTCCCGCCGCGAGGCAAGGGAGAGGGTTGGCTGTCTTGGTGTCGGGGACGTGTGTCTCCGACACAGCGACCGACACTCGCCTCTAGGCCGAGGCCGAGGTGCTCCGGGAATGGCGACGAGTCGCCAAACAGCATCTCGAAGAACCCGGATGGACTATATATATAGTGGCGATGTGGGAGTGACGCCCTCTGGGAAACGTAGTTTTCTATCTTACATCCGTGCCCAGTTATTCTGGGCCCAGTTCCCCCCCACCCCGCCGCCCCGCCTTTGAAAGGATGACGGGACTTGTAGTTCAGGTTTTATTACGAGTATGCTAATGTGCATAATAATATAATATGCACCAGTCATAATAATATAACATGCACCAGTACTAATAACGAATCCAAACATTGGAATGCCTGTGGAAATTTTTTATTTGGTTAATTTATAGTTCTTATTCTAGTATCAATATCAAGTTATTTATGGCTCTTATTTTATCTCCCAATAAGAATAAGGGTAAAAATAATGACAAAACCCTACATTTAATATAACTTTACAGCACTTCGTCATACAGCACTTCATTTCATTGTTAATAAGTCATTTATTAATATAAGCCATCGTCAGGGCACCTGGGTGGCTCAGTGGGTTTAGCAACTGACTCTTGGTTCCCCCGCACATCATGATTTCAGGGTTGTGAGATGGAGCCCCACCTCAGTCTCCAGGCTTGCAGAGCCTCCTTAAGATTCTCTGTCTCCTTGTCACTCTGCTCCTCCCCTCCCCAACTTGCACGTGCTTTCTCTCTCTCTCTCTCTCAAGAAAAAATATATATGTCATTATTAATATTTCATTTCATCGTTAATAAGATTATCATTGCGTGCTTATCATTAGCAGGCATTGTCGTGTGGGTTATATGGATTACCACACTTAATCCTCACATTAACTCAAATTTAAAGACAAGGAAACTGGTTCCAAAAGCTTAGATCAGTTACACACCATCACATAGTGAATAAGTGGTGTTCTCAACCACCTATGAGATAAGCAGTTCTCCATTTTACAAATATGAACACTGAAACTTAGAAAATCTCACCACAGCCATCTGTACTTTAGAAAATTATTAATGATTCCTTTCAACCATAGCAGTTTGAGATTCGTAGGATCACATACACACACTGTTAAAGAGAGGAACAACTAATTTTTCAGACTAACCACAGCTCACTAGAAACCTATTATATGCCAGGCACTGCGCTAAGCACAAGGAAACCCAAAAATATATTCAGATTGAGGCCTTTAATAAACTCATTGTTTCCTAAGTGAATTAAGCAAATAAGAAACTACAGTGGTTAGGCCAGTGCTCACCAAAGAGAGAGGCCATGTTCCGTTTGAGCCAAAATATCACGAAGCCCAACGGCTACAGAAGAGTCTAGCATCTCCTAAGCTCTCCTTCAGCTGCAAATGAACTCAAAACTCAAGGCCCAGCTAAGGTAGTTGAATATAACAATAGACAAGAAAACTTAAGTTGGTGATCAGAAAGCTACTATAATTTTTGTTCCCATTCCTCAATTGAAATCTTTCCAGAAAATCCAAGTCCAGATATTTCATAAACTGTAGAAAAAGTTCAGTGGGAAGTGTGATGTCTTTATCGCCCAGAGTTGCCTGAGCCAACTCAAAAAAGCTGTGAAAAAAAAATAAGCAAGTGTTCAACTTTGACAGTTGTGCATGATACAATCCTGGAGGGCTGGGGCGCCTGGGTGGCTCAGTGTATTGGGGCCTCTGCCTTCAGCTTGGGTCATGATCCCTGGGTCCTGGGATCGAGTGCCACATCCCCACATTGGGCTCCCTACTCAGTGGGGAGCCTGCTTCCCCCTCTCTCTCTGCCTGCCTCTCTGCCTACTTGTGATCTCTGTCTGTCAAATAAATTTAAAAATCTTTTTTGATAAATAAATAAATAAACAAACAAACAAACAATCCTGGAGGGCTTAGTCTTCCCAAGTAAAATTATGGGCAAGAGAATCCATGTAAAACTGGATGGCAGCCAACTCACAAAAGTTCATTTGGATAAAACATAGCGGAACAATGTGGAACACAAGGGTGAAACTTTTCCTGCTGTCTGTAACAAGTTCACTAGCAAGGATGTTAATTTTGAATTCCCAGAGTTTCACTTGTAAACAAAACTGACTAAATAACATATCATTCACCCAAAAGAAAGGAAAGAGGGAGGGAGGGAGAGAGTAGGGAAGAAAAACTACAAGGGAAGATAGTAACAAAAGCTATAATAAAATTAACACAAAATACTGACTATAGCAAAAGCTCCAAGGAGAGGTATACAAACAGTTGGGGGTGGGAGGGTAGTGGAGGGCTTCCCAGAGAGGCGTCACTTGAACTGAGCATAGAAGAAGGATGAGTGGAAAATCCTAGAATTCCCCTAATTGAGTCCTTTTCACCTCCTTATCCATCATCACATGCAATACAAAACATTAATAAGTAATGTATGTATAAGTCAGTTTCTTGAAATTAACAGTTTTAACTGGAATAAGGAAAATTAGATACTAATTTCACATTTTTAAATTTCCTTAAAATGGCCTTCATCATTCCTTGCCCTGCTTCACCTCTTGCAGGCTTTTCCTCCACAAGTCATATTGAAATGAGAACAAATACATAATGTTGGTTTGGAACCTAACTTTGATGTCTAGAAGGAACAGCCCCAAAGCCTGAGGTCCATTCTTATGTATCACTAGATATGGAAGACATACTAAGTTTCCTTGATGAATTTTTATTTCCCTTAACAATGATGTGAGAATTCTAATTACGTGAATGAATCATTCCTTCTTTCTATCACTTTTAAAAATAAAAGAGAGGGAAAGAAGAAAAACCCATGTAGCTCTTCCAAAAGAAAGCAGTAGGTGTCCATCTGTCAGACTACACATTAAACCAGGAAGAGATTTTTCATTTTTAAAATAGTTTCTTAGGGTCCTTGGCGCTTTCTCCTTGTGAAATATTTACAGACAACATATATTTAAAAAGAGAATCAAAGCAGAAACATATAGAAATCCAAGCAAAACTTACCACCTCCATCCTCTTTTGCGCAAGATGGTCTACATTACCCTTTCCATAAAAAAAAAAAAAAAACCACGAAAATCTGGGGTTGAAGTAAATATACATGCTATGCCAGTTGGCACTAGAAGTGTAGCTTTGTGACAGCAGAAGAGGGAGGGTGAGTGGTGATTGGGTCTGACTCACTAAATAGACACTAGAGCTTTCCTTTCCATTTATAAACTTCTTAGGTACATAAAATATAAAGACCAAAGAACAGCCTTTTGTACATTTATTTTTCAGAGTCATCTAGCACATGTTTCTCAAGAATGGTCTGCAAATTCCTTGCATCAGAATCACCACATAAGTCTGTGGATCTCCTGGGTGGCTCAGTTGAGCATTCCACTCCTGGTTTTGGCTCAGGTCAGGATCTCAGGGTCCTGAGATCCACCCCTGGATGAATGACTCTGCCCTGGGGGTGGAGCCTGCTTTGGATTCTTTCTCTCCCTCTCCCTGTGCCTATCCCCCAAGATATAAACCTTGAAGGGGAAAAAAATAAGGAAGAAAAGAAAGAAAGAAAGAATGAATGAATCACCACAGAAGTTTGTTCAATGAAGATTCCCAATGCCCATCCCTAATGTATGGATTCAAAATCTCTTGATATTTGGCCCAGGAATCTGCTTTTTTTCCTTTTCTTTTCGAGAGAAGAGAGAGAGAGAAAATCCCAAGCAGACTCTACGTCCAGCATGGAGCCCTATGGGGGCTTGATCCTCCGACCCTAATATCATGACTTGAGCGAAATCAAAAGTCAAAGGTTTAATCCACTGAGCCAACCTGGCGGCCACCTGAATCAGCATTTTAAAGCTGAAACCAGTGATTCTTAGGCCCATCAAAGTTTAAGAGAATCGACCTTGTTATCTCTGCCTTGTAATCACACCATATACTTCAGTTTCCTACTTCTGCACGAGAAAGCAAGAGTTACAGGATATCCTGAGAGTTAGCTTTCATACGGCTGGTTGAAAATATTCAGGGATATGGCCGCTGGGAAGTGATTGTGGCCTTATCCTAAGGACCCTTCATTCTGGTGAATTCTATATTCAAAGCGGGAAGAGGGAGAAGAAGGGATTTCCAGTACTCAAAAACTAAGCAGCCTCTAGATCCCAGAGGTCACACACATAGCTCCCTAAGAAAGGGTTTCAGGACGCGTTCGGCTAATAATGTCTCCTACCGGCCGCCGTTGGCCCTCTAGTGATGCAACCCTACGTACTGTCCGGGCGCTGTCACTCTACTGCCAAGATGGCGACCCACAGGAGCTACGCTCTATGGAGCTACTGCGGTCGTAGGTGGTCGCGGGTGATGCGGTGCTGCCGGCTCCCCGGGTTTCGTAGCTCCTGGCCTAGGGGCCCGCTGGGTGTGCGGCACTTGTCCCAAGAGAAGCAGGCAACGGAAACACATTTCGGATTTGAGACTGTGTCGGAGGAGGAGAAGGGGGACAAAGGTGAAAGGGGCGAGAGGGCGGATTGAGGGATCTGTCTGCGATCTAGTTTCTTCTGCTCAGCTAGGAGTTGATTTAACGTCCTGTTGACTCGGATGACGTAGGCTGTGCAGTCCTGACCTCCAGAGAAACCCCCCGCCACCCCGCCCAGCCTGACCCCGCGGAGCTTAGATGCCACTTCTGGTTAAACACAGTAATTATCACCAAATTCCAAAAATTGGGTGTTTATGATGTGCCAGGCACCATGCAGATATCATTCCCAATTCTCATTTCAGCCTCCAAACAATGGTATTGTTATCTCCAAGCTACACATGAGGGAATTGAGACTTCGAGATTAAACGAGAAGTTGCCCAATTTAATTTGTAAGTGGCGGAACCAGTATTCCAAAACTGTGACTGCAGAGCTCATGTTCTTCACCTCTTGCCAAGGGGTAGGACCATTTTTTAATAGAAAGGAGGGAGGAAACTACCTTTGCTGTGCCTCAGCCTCCAAATTGTATAAGTAGGGATAATAGTAATCTTTCTTAGAGTTATAATGAGGATTACATTACTTAATATATTAAAATATTTTAAACAATGCCTGGCACTTCGTAATTGCCCAGTAAAGGTTAGATATTGTTGAGCAGTTGGTTTGTGTCCAGCATTGTGCTATAGGCATGGGAAAGGAAAAGACTGTTTTAAAATTCCAATTGTACCATTCATAATGGGGTAGGTTTTAAGCCCATTTAACAAGTGGATATGGTGAGGCGCTGAGAGTTTCCTTCACTTGGCCTGTGGTCACCCAGGAAATAAAGAGAAAGAATTCACAATGGAATATCCCATCCTCTTAAAGACTACTCACATTGTCTCATGTCTTACCTCAGCCTTACTAAATACATAGCTCTACTGGAACTCTTCGAATATTGATTTTAAAATAACATCTAGGGGAGCCTGCGTGGCTCAGTTGGTTGAGCGACTGCCTTCGGCTCAGGTCATGATCCCGGACTTCCAGGATTGAGTCTCGCGTCGGGCTCCCAGCTCCTTGGGGAATCTGCTTCTCCCTCTGACCTTCTCTCTCATGCTCTCTCTCACTCATTCTCTCTCAAATAAATGAATAAAATCTTTTAAAAAAATAAAATAAAATAACATCTATTTCACTGGGCTGTGAATCCCCGGAATGCTAGGATGGTGGCTCATTGATGTCTAGATCTTCAGTGCCTGATGCACATTAAAAGCTTGATAACTGCTTGTGAAATAAGAAAATCCAAGTAAAACGATAGTAAACTTTTATTAAGGACTTGAAACTTTTTTTTTTAGATTATATTTATTTATTTGATAGAGATCACAAGTAGGCAGAGAGGCAGGCAGGGAGAGAGGGGGAAGCAGGCTCCCTGCTGAGCAGAGAGCCCTATGTGGGGCTTGATCCCAGGACCCTGGGATCATGACCTGAGCCGAAGGCAGAGGCTTTAACCCACTGAGCCACCCAGGCACCCCAAGGACTTGAAACTTTTTGAAATACTTTTCATTAATTCTTTTAAATACAACCTTATAAGGTAGAGACTAGTAGCCTGATATCATAGATGAAGAAACTGTTGAAACAGAGATGTTAAGTCACTTGCTGAAGATTCTACTAGTAAGTGGTAGAGCCGGGGATTTGAATCCAGGTGGGTTGCTTCCAAAATGATAATAATGCTTAACCTCTGTGTTGTACTTTACAGAATATAATGACATTTCACACACATAAGCAAGGAAGAGGTTACCCACCATGAGCTAAATATGTATCTCCCAGATGGGACCCAATATTGAAGTACAGGCAGTCTTTCCTCTGCTCAGTAGTGCAGGACTGTAAAAATGGCCATGTGCACTGAAATCATGCACAATGATATTAATAATCGATGGGAAAAATTACAACTGTTCTATGACCTCTAAAAATTATTGAACATAGTGGGTGGCTGGGTGGCTCAGTCAGTGGAGCATGTGACTCTTGATCTCAGGGTCATGAGTTTAAGCCCTGCTTTGGGCATAGAGTTTACTTAAAAAAAATTTAAAGATTATTGAACATCAAGACTCTCTTACTGTTAGTTATAAATGCATAGAGAAATGAAATAAGTAGTAAAGTTAATATTTATTTAACAAACTATAAAATTAAGATTTAATTTAACTTAATGTAATTAGAATTTTTAAATTTTAAGTTTTTTTTCTTAAAGATTTTATTTATTTATTTGACAGAGACAGAGAGAGAAGGAATACAAGCAGGGGGAGAGGGAGAGGGAGAAGCAGGCTTCCCGCTGAGCAGGGAGCCTAATGTGGGGCTCCATCCCAGGACCCTGGGATTATGACCTGAGCTGAAGGCAGATGCTTAACGACTGAGCCACCCAGAAGGTGCCCCTTAAGTTTGTTTTTTTAATTAAATTAAAATTCTAATAAAAAACTAGAAACATTAAGTTGTTTTATTCCTTCCTAAAAAAATGTACCAAAAGTAGTTTGAACAGTGTTTGCTACCTTCTGGTCATATAATTTACAATAGGGAGCAAGCATCTTCTCTGTGTCTTGGCAAATTGCCATACTCCTTTCTAAATTTCAATCCGCTTGTAACATTTTATACCTTCACTGTCATGAAATATCTCTAAGAATTCCTCTAGCGTGAGATTTTTTTGCTGGCATCATTTCCTCTGGGACATAGTCAACCTTTTCATCACAACCACATCCTCATTTTTTTTTTTTTAAGATTTTATTTATTTATTTGACAGACAGAGATCTCAAGTAGGCAGAGATGCAGGAAGAGAGAGGAAGGGAAGCAGCTCCCTGCTGAGCAGAGAGCCTGATGCAGGGCTCGATCCCAGGACTCTGGGATCATGACCCAAGCCAAAGGCAGAGACTTTAACCCACTGAGCCACCCAGGCGCCCCCACATCCTCATTTATGTCCGTAAGTTCATCTTCACATAGTTCTTCCAGCTGCATATCTAGAGTCTCTCCAGCATCACATTGCCACAGTCAGCTGTTTCCCCTAAAACCCCATGGACGTTTTACTTCCAGAATTACCACTTTTCATTGCTTTGCAGTGCTTTCATTTTTGTTGGCCAGTTCCCTCTTTCAGTTATCTAGTTTTGTAAAATACCACGTGTTTATAACTGAGAGATAAGGAGGTAACACAACTACATGCTTTGCTGTGTGTGAACTGAATGACTGATGTGTAGTGACCTACCAAGTGCTAACCGAAAGAAGTGATATGATTGGTTACTGACTATGATGCATGTCGATTATTTACAGAGTGATTTATGGGCTGAAGAACTACCAGGGAAGTTTGCGCTTTATGCACTTACTTCACAGTTAATACACCATTGCACATGAATGATGTTGTTGGGGGACTGGTGTTACCTAACTAAACCACAGTCACTGAAATTCATGTATATCGGAACCATGCAAAGCAAAGATTCCTTATACTCAGTGGGTTGAGCTATAGTGTCCGTGAATACCCCCGAAACAAAAGAAAACAAAACAAAAAAGCAAGCTTGGAGATCCCGGGGTTGAGACAGGCATTCAAGATTGAGTTCAGGAGGAGCTCTGTAGTGCTGAATCAGCAGAGGATAATGATGTTTTAGATCTATGCAGCAGATCCCATCTGAGAAACTCAAGGCATCTCCCCTTCATTACCTAATTCAGCCTTATGGCAGAGTGATCGGGAGCTGGCACTGAGCTTTTCATCTTATGGGCGGAGAAGCAGGTGTAAAGAAGTTAAATGTAGCCTGTGCTTTAAAATGCCTTATATAGTAAATTCCTTCTCCCACTAGGCCAGATTCCACATTTCCCTTGATCCTCTGGGATTTATGAGGGCCCTCTGCAGTGTGGCTTGACCCTCACTCACATCTTGCTATTCGTCTGCCCACCAAATTGTACCTGAGGTTTTTCTCTGTGATCCTTCCCATCCATTAGTCATGTATTTCTAATGATTTTGTTGTTTTCTATTCTAATAACCACAAAATAAAAATTCCATACCTCCCCCTCCTCTAAGGAATGGAAACCTAACTTAGTGCCAGGCAGGTGCATGGCATTATTATGGGGTAGTGGTCCTAGATAAAGGTAACTAAGACAGCAGAAAAGAGGTTGGTTTCTTAGATGAAGTAACTTAAGCCTTTTTAAAAAGAGGTTAAGGGGTAGATTTGGGCATCAAGCAGTCTAGCTTAACTTCACCTGACCAAGACCGGCAACTTCAGGGGAGAAAAGCATCCCCTTTCATTTAGGACTTCCTAAGTTAATCTTGTTAATAGCACAATTGTGTTGTATTTCTCCTGTGTCAGTCTATCATGTGTTTGAAAGTGTGGCCAAGAAGTATGACGTGATGAATGATATGATGAGTCTTGGTATCCATCGTATTTGGAAGGATATGCTGGTCTGGAAGATGCACCCATTTCCTGGGACCCAGCTGCTCGATGTTGCTGGAGGCACAGGTAATGTCCAGTCGAGTATCCTTGAATATCACTGAGCACCTTTTGTAGAAATCAAGTGTCTCTTGTTGGAATGAGCTAGCTTATCTACCATTAGGCTGAAGATGGAAATTGAAAGTCAGTACACTACTAAGAAAGGTTTACTCTTTCTAACCAAATGTCACTCAAAAAGCATAACATATCTGCTTTATGCCCGTCATTTTTCTAAAACGTACAGGGTTACAAAGTAAAAAGTTCACTCTTTTACTCCAGGGACATCTCACCGTGTGAATGAATTTCTTTTTTTTTTTTTTTTTTTTAAAGATTTTATTTATTTATTTGACAGAGATCACACGTAGGCAGAGAAGCAGGCAGAGAGAGACGAGGAAGCAGGCATCCTGCTGAGCAGAGAGCCTGATGCGGGGCTCAATCCCAGGACCCTGAGATTATGACCCGAGCCGAAGGCAGAGGCTTTAACCCACTGACCCACCCAGGCACCCCATGAATTTATTTTTCTGTTTAACCTTTAATCCACTTTCCCCCTTTCTTTGGGCAGGGGGAGAATATGCCCATTCTCATATTCCATAAGCTTTCTAGGCAAACTTCTCTGCCTAATCCACAATCATATCAGAAATCCAAAGCTTGGTTGTTTATCCACGGTCCTTTGTTACTTGGTGCACACTAGGTATCTGGGGAGAAAAACATCATGGGTTTCATTCATGCATCTTGGTGATGTTATCACATGGCTAATGTACATGTTAAATTACATTAGAATAATGGGTCATGTAATGTAATAATGTGATAATCTATAACAATAGGATAACATAGAATAAGAAATGACAGTAGAACCATCTGCATGTGTGAAACATGTTTATGTGTGACTTTGTTGGTGTGGTCCTCTCCCTGGTGGAAACTGAGAAGGTGGTAAGACACCTTGCTCAATGAAGGACCATTTAACAGAATCTGTTAAAATCTAAAATCTTTATAGTCTAGGATCCCACAATTCCAATTCTCCATATCTAGTCTTAAAAAAAAGAAAAAGAAAAAGAAAAACCTTGCACCATGATACAGCTTCAGAAAGGGTTTGGTCAGACCTGCCTACATCTGTGCCTTCACCTACATGATTACTGCACGCTGCCAACTGCCCGTTTGGAAAATCTACTTGGAAGGTAATCCCATATATTTAAAAAGACATTTTAAAAATATGTAGCTACAGATATGCTCACTGCATCATTTTTAGTAGTAGTGAAAACTGGGAAATAACCTATTTCTGCCTCAGTAAAGAAATTGTTTTAAATTAAGATACACCCATTCTATGAACTATCATGTAGCTATTTAAAAGAATGTGGAAAACCTATAAATACGTATGGAAAGTTTTCAAAGACATATTCAGTGGGAAGAGAAAAGTTGTACAACTATGTGTCTAATATGATCCTTGTATATGTTTTTAAGTCATTTCATATAAAATATTTAAACATATAGGAAAGGGACTGGAGAATACCTAATTGGCTGGAGAGACTAGAAGAACTTAAGGGTATATTTCTTACAACTAGTGTGAGAAAAACAAAGACAAACAACATTATAAGAAAGGCAGTGTGCTCCTAGAAAGCACTGTCTTGGCCCAAATAGTATTTACCTGATTACAGTAACATACACACTTTTCAGCTTTTAGACTCCAACCAACAAAGCACAGAAGTAATTATAGCCTCAGAACAAACAGTATGTTATCAGTCGGTCTGGACGGTATAAAAGTGCTCACAGTAGAAGGTTGAAAGGAGTCAAGAGGTACCATTTGTAATTGACGAAATAGAAATAAGAGTCTGTTACTCTAGTTTACAAAGGAATCTATGAGGGACTATGAAATGTGATCTAAACATATTAGGAAGATAGAGCCAAGCAGACAGGAGGGGCGAGATATCATAAATTTGGTAAAGAAAGAAAGAGCTGGAACCAATAGAAGACACAGCTGAGAGGGTTGAGAAAGATAGTCCATGGGGAGCTGAACTAGGCATGGGAAGTGGTGGGGGAGGGGATCCTTGCTGGTAACTGTACCCTCATGTTGCTTTCGTAACAATTATTAGACAAAGACTAGAAGGGCTGAGCACTAGCACTTAACACTGCTTAGGTCTGGAGAGGGTGTGGAGAGAGAAGCCAACGTTTCTGTTTTAGTCTAAATATTTGGGTGTGTCTTTTATAGCAAGAATGTGTCCATGCATTACTTATGCAATTTTTTAAAGGATTTTTAAGAATATTTTAAGTTAACAGGGCACCTGCCTGGCTCAATCAGTGGAACTTGGGACTCTTGATCTTGAGGTCATGAGTTTGAGTCCCACGTTGGGTAGAGAGATTACTTAAAAATAAAATCTTAAAAAAAAAGAGAGAAGTTAAAAAAAATTGCTGTTTTTTTTTTTCCTTTTAATTTACCAGAGAAATAAAGAGAAACTTCGATTTTTATACACTGTCAAATCCTGTACCTTTGTTGCTCTGTTTGGGTTTTGGAAATGTTGGGGTTTTGCTTGTGTTTGTGTTTGCATCTCTCCTCCTGTTGGCTTCCCACAGGTGACATTGCATTCCGGTTCCTTAATTATGTCCAGGCACAGCACAAGGGGAAGCTGAAGCGGCAGTTACGGGCCCAGCAAAATTTATCCTGGGAAGAAATTGCTAGAAAGTACCAAAATGAAGAGGACCCTTTGGGTGGTTCCCGGGTAGTGGTCTGTGACATCAACAAGGAGATGCTAAAGATTGGAAAACAGAAAGCCGGTGCGCAAGGACACAAAGCTGGTAAGTCCTATGAGAAGTAGACACAGTGGAAATGTTTGTGTGTTTATGAAATAAGATGGAATATATAAATGTTGAAGTGCTTTATTTTCAAAAACATATAGCTAGGCCGGAGTCAAAGATAATTTGTGTGCCTGAATCCAGTTTGCAGGCTGTTATGTACATTTTTTTTTAAGATTTTATTTATTTATTTGACATAGATCACAAGCAGGCAGAGGGGCAGGCAGAGAGAGAGTGGGGGCCCGGGAAGCAGGCTCCTTGCTGAGCAGAGAGCTCGATGTCAGGGTTTGATCCCAGGACCCCGAGACCATGACCTGAGCCGAAGGCAGAGGTTTAACCCACTGAGCCACCCAGACACCCCTGTTAGGTACATGATTTCGCCAACCTGGGGTGGTAGCTTGATTACCAGCCCCATGTGACAGGGCCGATAACCAAAGCCCCAAGGGCTGCTTGAGTAAAGTGTCTTTGTCCAGGTAACACAACTCTTAAGTGGCAGATCCCAAATTGGAGTTGAGTCTTGGGATCTTAGCTCTTGGACCGAGACGGAAGTTTTGCCTTCAGTTCCCAGCAACTCCCTGCTGACCCTAACGTCCTGTTTTGGAGCCATCCCATTCCCCATCAGTGCCCAGAGGATTTCCACCGATGTGGAAGCTGAGAAGGGGCTCTGCCCTTAAAGCAGGAACTTGACCTTCAGACACCAGAGAGTGCAGGCAGCTGGCAGCCTTCAGCTCTAACAACCTTTAGGTCCTGCCTCAGCTTCCAAGATAGGCGCTTTCCAGAGCTCCCTGTTGGGTTGGCTAAGGCTTTATCAGATCTGCATTGAGGCCTAAGGCTTTCCCCACTCAGTCTTGCTTCTTCTTCCTTTTATCCAACCCCAGGTGTTCTCCCTTACCACTCCCCCACCCCGCCCCGCCCCGCCAAAAAAAAAACCTTTTTCACTCCTCCCTCACCTGGGCATCTGTTTCTCGAGGGCCCAACTGATAGAATGAAAGAAACACCCGAAACTGTACTTGTCTCAGCAGCAGACAGGAGCAACTGTGGGTCTCTGGGAACCCATTGCAGCCTGAAAATGAACAATTTGTGCCCTAGCTTCAAGATGTAGATTTCACATTTTGCTGTTTGTTTTCACCCTTTTTAAAAAATATATATTATTTATTTATTTATTTGACTGACAGAGATCACAAGTAGGCAGAGAGGCTGAGCAGAGAGCCTGATGCGGGGCTCGATCCCAGGACCCTGGGATCACAACCTGAGCTGAAGGCAGATGCTTTAACCCACTGAGCCACGCAGGCGCCCCTGTTTTCACCCTTTAAAATATTTTCCCCCCAACTTTCTCAAGTAGAAGTCAGAATGTGGCAGCTGCGCCAGCTTTCCAGAGCCGCTGCACTGCCCTCTTCCCAGCTGGCCAAGCACTGCAGGCAGCTACCATGAGGCAGTGGTCTGGGACAAAGAAAATAGAGTCCCTCGGGTCAACATCAGCGTTCCTGTGCTCCCCCCTCCCCCACCAGAAGTGACTATGGTTATTTTAGTTCAATTCTTCCTCCTCCGCCCCCCACCCCCAGAACGAACTGCCTAGACGGACCACCACCCACTTGGCCTCCAAGATGAAGGGCTCTTTTGTTAACCATCAGTGCTGATCGGAAAGCAGACAGCCCCTAGTGTTTTTAGACAAAGGCACTATGTTTCCTTACTCCTGCTGAAAAACGTGTTTCCCTTCCCTCTGGTGCTCAGCCATAAAGAATGGAGAACAAAGATAGAAGTGATAGCCAGTGTTCCATTTCTGGAATCATCCCTTCCATAGCATAGCTTGCCCTTCAGCCTCTCCTCACTGCCAAGACAAAACCACTGGTGAATGAATTATTAAGTGCTGCATAGGCCAGTTTTCCTTATCTTCCTCCTTGCTTTATCAGTGTCCAACAATGATGTCTTTGTAAAAAATATACCATGAAAAGAGTTGAAACTAAGGAGAATCCTAGAAATTAATTTGGGAGAGTAAGTTAATGAGAAAGACATATTTATGTGTAGCACTCTTGTGTGTTTTATTTACATCTTCTGTGGAGCACTTCCTCCCCACGTGGAAGTTCTGAGGGCAGGAGCTTTAAAAAAAATTATCTGAGGGACGCCTGGGCTCAGTTGGTTAAGCATCTACCTTCACCTCAGGTCATGATCCTGGGGTCCTGGATCGACTTCCAGCCTTGGCCCTGCCTCTGGCTCCCTGCTCAGTGGCGAGCCTGCTTCTCCCTCTCCCTCTGCCGCCACCCCCTTGTGCTCTCATGCATGCGCACTCTCTCTCTCAAATAAGAAAATAAATATTTTTTTAATTATTTGATAGGTTATAAAAGTGATAGATTTGAGAGAAATTTTGGATTTTGCAAAGGTATTAAGAGGAAAGTAAATGTTACCTATAATTCCAACATCAAGTAATGCTCCTAGTATTTTAATGTATTTCCTTCCTAGCGTTTCCTAATCATTTCCTTTTTATAAAATTGAAGACTTCCTGTATATACAATTTAGTATCCTGCCCTAACTCAGTATTGTATCAAGAGATCTTTCCATGTCATTAAAAATTCCTTAAAATCCTTCATGATTTTCTCTCGTACGGATGTGAATGACAAAGATTCACATCACCAGTTTACATAAGCAGCAACCCCAATTGATCCTTCACTTTTTTCTAAAGCTCTTGCTTAAAAAGCACAGCATTGTGACATCCTAATTTGTAAATTTTTGCATGCATTTGTTCATTTTTCCCTTTAACATAACCTCAGACAAGTGTTTAAACTCTTCAGATCTCAATTCCTTTATCTATAAAATGGGAGAATAAAAACCACATTAGGAGGTAATATACCACAGCTATTGAAAACACAGGCTCGGGGTGCCTGGGTGGCTCAGTGGGTTAAGCCTCTGCCGTTGGCTCAGGTCAGGATCTCAGGGGTCCTGGGAAGGAGCCCCGCATCAGGCTGTCTGCTCAGCAGGGAGCTTGCTTCCCTCCTCTCTCTCTGCCTGCCTCTCTGCCTACTTGTGATCTCTGTCTGTCAAATAAATAAATAGATAATAAAAAATAAATAGATAAGAAGGAAACACAGGCTCTGGGATAAAACAACCTGAGTTCCAATCCATCTGGATGACCTTGGACAAGCTGCCTGATACTCAGCTTGGCTCTCCTAAAACATGATGATGATATTAAGAGTTATCCCATGGGGGCGCCTGGGTGGCTCAGAGGGTTAAAGCCTCTGCCTTCGGCTCAGGTCATGATCCCAGGGTCCTGGGATCGAGCCCCACATCGGGCTCTTTCCTTGGTGGGGAGCCTGCTTCCTCCTCTCTCTCTCTCTGCCTGCCTCTCTGCCTACTTGTGATCTCTCTCTGTCCAATAAACAAATAAAATCTTTAAAAAAAAAAAGAGTTATCCCATGGCAGTAGTATGAGAAGAGAATGTGATAAGATAATGTATGTGAAGAGATAATACAGACCCTGCCATCAAGGGCTCAGAGCAGTTGCCCTGAGGATGATATCAGGGTCATCCTCCTAAAAATCAAAGAGCTTGTTCAAAGGATATGGTTATTTTTTTTAAAGATTCATTTATTTATTTGAGAGAGAGAGTGTGTGTGTTTTGAGCTGCAGGAGGGGCAAAGGGAAAGGGAGAGAGGCAGAACACGGAGTCCCATGCGGGGCTGGATCTCTAGACCTTCATGATCTCCAGATCACAACCTAAGCCGAAACTAAGAGTCCAACACTTAACCAACTGGTGAGCCACCCAGGCACCTCAGTGTATGGTTATTTTTAAAGGTTTTGTTAAATACCGCCACTTTGCTTTTCCAGGGAGGTTTTCATTTACTTTCCTCTATAGAGCCTTCCTTCTATATTGCATTTTATGTCTAATTTGCTGCAAGTTGACTATCTTAAAGCTGAATCAGGATCCTTTAGTGGATGTAGCTACCCTGTTATGGGGTTCCCTTGGGTGTGTTCTGAATTTGTGACCAGACAAAAATTGTCCAGACATTTTGATTCTTCAGTAGAACCAGTATAACTAGGCTAAATTCCATACTTAGAATACTTCCAATCAAGGTGCCTGGGTGGCTCAGTCGGTTAAGCGTCTGCCTTCAGCTCAGGTCATGATCTCAGGTTCCTGGAATCGAGTCCCACGTTGGGCTCCCTGCTCAGCAGGGAGCCTGCTTCTCCCTCTGCCTTTCCCCCTGCTTGTGCTCTGTCTCTCTCAAATGAATAAATTAAATTTAAAAAAAAGGGGGGGGGGCACCTGGGTGACTCAGTGGGCTAAGCCTCTGCCTTCGGCTCAGGTCATGGTTTCAGGGTCCTGGGATTGAGCCCCGCATCGGGCTCTCCGCTCAGCAGGGAGCCTGCTTCCCCCTCTCTCTGCCTGCCTCTCTGCCTACTTATGATCTCTGTCAAATAAATAAATAAAATCTTAAAAAAAAATACTTCCAATCGCCCTCTGAAGTTAGTACTGTTATTAACTCCATCTTACAGATGAGGAAACCAAGGCAAAGTGGTTTATTCAAGATGATACAGCTAATAAATGGTGATGCTAGAATTAAAGCCCTGGCAGTCTAAACCCCAGACCTGGGATCCTAACCATGGTACTTTACACAGAACAGTTAGTTGGGTAAAAATTGCTTCAGGGTGGGCATAACTAAATATTCATCAGGTTCTACCCTGAGACCCCTGGGGAAAGAGCTTGCTGCTAAACTTGAAGAAATTCAGATTCTCAGGCCAAGACAGCACCTCGAAGACAGCGGCCAGGAACCCAGTGATGAATGCAGGCGTGTGATGGTTTCCAATACCACACATATGGTATTTGCCCAGCACCAGACTGCTCTCCAGTTCTCCCACACCAAGTAGGTGTCCAACAATTCAGTTCAATTCTGACACTGACTCCCAGAATCGTTCACAGGTTGCACAGACTGCCCCCACTTGAGAAGTCAGCCATGAGTGGGTGTGCAGGCTGCCCACACTTCTGCCTGGCTGACTACAAATCGGGGGATTCCCACAATGCCCTCCTCAGGTTTGACAGTTCGCTGGGTGCAATCGAGCAGCCCAGGCTGAGCCCAGAAATGATTTTCTCTTTCAGGACTTGCTTGGGTATTGGGAGATGCTGAAGAACTGCCCTTTGATGATGACAAGTTTGATGTTTACACTATCGCCTTTGGGATCCGGAATGTCACACACATTGATCAGGTATATATGGCCGCATCTTTCGCTTGTGTGACTCTCGTGCTATTCGATCTCCTAGAGCAGCCCCACAGAAAATGAGGAAAGAGGGAGAGACTCTTCTCTCCACCCAGCTTTTGAATGGAATGACCGTTTCAGGCTTGGGGGCTTCATTCCTTGAAGTTGCCAGTTTTCCTCATCACAAAAATGAAGGGGGAAAAAAAAACAAACCACAGAGCAGATCCCCATAGAAGCGTTTATTGCTTGGGCTGGTATTCACATCTTTGAGCTGTCAGTCATGCTCTGGCTTCCCATCTGTTTCCGCTCACTTGTGAAGTTGTCTGACCCAGTGAGTTTGCAGATCAGAGGCATTTCCAAGGCCAACACAGAAGGCACTCGAACACTTATTTTGGCAGAAGATATCTAGAGTCATGGGTTCCTCTACAGGGAGAAGGGAACATTTAGCTCTTAATCTGATGCAGCTGTTCTTTTTTTTAAAAAGATTTTATCTTTAAGTAATCTCTGCACTCAATGTAGGATTCCAACTCACATCCCTGAGATCAAATGTATCTACCGACTGATCCAGCCAGACACTCCCTGATGTAGCTCTTCACTTCTCCTTCAGTATTCTATCCCAGACCATTTGAAGACCATGTGCAAGGCACCACGTTTTATTTTTGTAATCACGGGCTCCAGTTACCTGGTTCCTCTGCTTTCAGTGGGACATCTTTATGGTGCACTTGAGCTTGGTTTTTGTGACCTGCCCCTTGTATGCAGCTAGTTTATTATTTCTTCTAATTAAAAAAATGTTTGAATAGGTTCAAAGTACAAAAGAGCATGTCAGGGACGCCTGGGTGGCTCAGTGGGTTAAAGCCTCTGCCTTCATCTCAGGCCTTTACCCGGGACTTGACTCAGGTCACAGGATCGAGCCCCACATCTGGCTCTCTGCTCAGCGGGGAGCCTGCTTCCCCCTCTCTCCCTCCTCTCTGCCTACTTGTGATCTCTGTCAAATAAATAAAATCTTAAAAAAAAAAAAAAGGGCATGTCAGTGAAAGTATGCCTCTCACCCATGTGTACCAACCATGCAGTGCCTCCTCTCCCTCCTCCAATCACCAGTTTCTTAGGTACCTTTGCAAAGATGTTTTGTGAATAATAAACATTTTTCTTTTTCTCCTTCTTTTGTATAAATATTAGCATGTGATACATTTTGCCCATTGCTTTTTTTTTCCCCTTAAAAATATATCTTGGGGAATTTTTCCATGTCAGTACATGAAGAGCCCTGGCTTTTCCTTTTTCTAAATAGCTGCATAGATTCCATTTATATAGACATTCCAAAATTTAGTCTCTCAGTAGTTAAGATGCTTCTAATCTTGTGCTGTTCAAACAGTGCTGCAGGTAATAACGTGTGTGCATGTCATCTCTATAATAGATGCATTTTTTTCCCTTTATTTTTGGATGGGGGGAAGGGGCAGAGGGTGAATCTTAAGCAGGTTCCACGCCCAGCACAGAGACGGATCTTATGACCTGAGCTGAGCCAAAATCAAAAGTCAGATGCTTAATGGACTGAGCCACCCCTGTGCCCCTACAACAGATGCATTTCCGTGAGAGAGTTTCCTTGAAGTAAAATTCCTATATCAAAGAGGATATCCATTGTGATTTAAATAAGTAATTGTAGGGGCACCTGGCTGACTCTACCAGTAAAGGATGCAACTCTTGATCTCCGGGTTTGAAGTTCAAATCCCATGTTGGGTAAAGAGTTTACTTAAAAAAATAAAGAAAAAAAAGAAAATCCTGAAATAAGATTTTAATAAATAATTGACAGTTGTGAAATTGGCCATCATGTGGTTGTACCAATCTGAGTACTCCAAATAACATTCTCTTCACGGGCAGCAGAATGCCTATAAAATTTAGAATATTGTCGGGTTATCTCTGCTGCTACAGCTGACCCACTGAGAATGCACAAGGGATCTATGTGCATGCTATGGGAAATGCTAACTTTTATAATGCCCATCAAAGTTAAAGCTGTTTTGGCCTCATGGAATTGAGTTCTGCTGCGGAGTGTGTTCTCTTGTTCCTTGTCTTGCTCAGGCACTCCAGGAAGCCCATCGAGTCCTGAAACCAGGAGGACGGTTTCTCTGTCTGGAGTTTAGTCAAGTGAACAATCCCCTCGTATCCAGGTTGGTACTGTTAACAGGGTTTTATTCTCATTGTCTAGCCAAGGGTTTTCCATCCCCAAACTGGACAGAAAAAGCCGGTAAGTGATAAGCATGAAGCTCATAGATCAGAGTCTCTAAGGCACACGATAGCCCATCTAAGGCACAGTGCCACCTCAGAAGTCAGCCAGTTCTGAATACCTAAGCCAAAAGAGTTTCAATCCAGCAACCAGAAGGTCAAGTTGGCCCATGGATGTATTTTGTATTTTAAGAAATTGACTTAGGGGCGCCTGGGTGGCTCAGTGGGTTGAGCCTCTGCTTTCAGCTTGGGTTGTGGTCTCGGGGTCCTGGGATCGAGCCCCGAATCAGGCTCTCTGCACGGCGGGGAGCCTGCTTCCCTCTCTCTGCCTGCCTCTCTGCCTGCTTGTGATCTCTCTCTCTCTCTGTTGAATAAAAAAAACAAAACAGAAATAAACCTTTAAAAAAAGATTGACTTAGATGTTCATATTTGAAAATCAGGAAGTTTCACATAAAAATGTGAGTTTCCAGCTTCACTTGAGGAATCATATAGGGCAACGCTGAGCACTTATTCCCACATGGCGGTAGTCGGAGCTGAGTAGTACCTGCCCCTTCTCCACTTTTATGCTATTTTCTACCTGCACCTGTCACCACCACCTCCTCACTAGTCCCTACTGGTCTTGCACTTGGCCCACATTACTTTCAGATACTTGACCCCTATAGGCATTTGAATTTATAACTTCAGGCTTAAACCTTCTTGCTTCTTATCAGGGGGCATGTTCTAATCTTACTCTTTTGCCTTTGTGTTTAGGCTTTATGATCTATATAGCTTCCAGGTCATTCCTGTCCTGGGAGAGGTCATTGCAGGAGATTGGAAGTCCTACCAATATCTTGTAGAAAGTATTCGACAGTTCCCATCTCAGGTACAAAACTTTGATATTTTACAACAAAGGCCCTAGAGTTTAAATCCAGGTGATCCTTGCTGTATCTTTGCGTTTTAGGAGGAGTTCAAAGAGATGATACAAGATGCAGGTTTTGAAAAAGTGACTTATGAAAGTCTCACATCAGGCATCGTGGCTATTCATTCTGGCTTCAAACTGTAACTCCTTTACCATTCTGGAGTGTGAACAGTCACATCCTGTCAAAAGCCTGGAAATGGAGGATAATCTGGCTAGTGAGACTGGCAGCAGAACATCCCCTCTTAAGGACGTGTGCCTTGGACTCATGTTCTGACGTGACCAGTCCCAAAGTGGAAGAAACAGATTCGACTGCACCTTTCACTAGAAGCTGCTTTAGGACTTCTCCCAGAGGTATTTGCTCTGTATTTTTTTGCTCAGCTCCTAATTCTTATTGACTGCGTGGTGCATGGTTAAGGTAAAACCAGCACTACTTCTCCTTTTTGAAGTGTTTTTGTAGCTTCTCTGCTGGTGCTGCCTTCCACAGGGATGATGACTCATTTGAACCCAATGATGATTTGAACCAAAACGTGTCCTAGCTGTACCAGAGTCAGCCTCTCAGCCTAGGACTAAGTCTGGGGCCAAAAACGAAGGCCCAAGTCGGAGTGCTAACAATCACAATTAGAATTACAAACTGAACCACTGAATGAGTTTACAATTTGTGTGGTATTTGTTATTTCTTCTTGGGACAGGGGGAGTGTGAGGGAAATACATTTTTGTCATCACTCAGTCCTCTTCTACCGAAAACTACTATTGGATCCTCAGCACCTGTCACGAAGAAAACAAACCTTTGGTGAAAGAATAAATAAATGTTCCAGGAAACTCCTGCTTTTGTGTTTTATATGGAGAACTCCTTTATCAGAATACATTTGGAGGGTTTTGTAGCCCCCCCAAAAAAAAAGTTTGAAAATGATCTAACCTAACCCCCCCTTTTTTTTTTTCCTTGGTACTAAGGGGTAGAGCTGGGCAGAGCTTGTCTCAATACAGTCCAACGTTTGATGCTAAAATGAGACCTAAACGGGCACCTGGGCGGCTCAGTCGTTAAGCCTCTGCCTTCTGCTCAGGTCATGATCCCAGCGTCCTGGGATGGAGCCCTGCATTGGGCTCCCTGCTTAGCGGGAAGCCTGCTTCTCCCTCTCCCACTCCCCCTGCTTGTGTTCCCTCACTCACCGTCTCTGTCAAATAAATAAAATCTTTAAAATAAAAAAAACAGGGGTGCCCGGGCAGCTCAGTCGGTTAAATGGCTCGCTTCAGTTCAGGTCATGATCCAGCTCCTTGCTTGGCAGAGAGCCTGCTTCTCCCTCTCCCTCTGCCTGCTGCTCTGCCTACTGTGCTCTCTCTCTCTCAAGTAAGTAAATAAAACCTTTAAATAAATAAGTAAATGAGGCCCAAAATGTTCTGAATGTGGATTAAGCCCATGGTTTTTTTTTTTTAAAAAAAAAGATGTTATTTATTTGACAGAGAGAGATCACAAGTAGATGGAGAGGCAGGCAGAGAGAGAGAGGGAAGCAGGCTTCCTGCCGAGCAGAGAGCCCGATGCGGGACTCGATCCCAGGACCCCGGGATCACGACCCGAGCCGAAGGCAGCGGCTCAACCCACTGAGCCACCCAGGCGCCCCAAGCCCATGGTTTTTAAGGGACTTTGCGAAGACATTGCAGAAAGCAACTTGTGACTTGGCTGGCCACTTGGTAATTGTGGGTAACTTAGTTCAAGTCTATTTCAAAAGCCTTTAGACATGCTGCCTCTAGGGCCAGCACAGTAGGGGTCATTTATGTACCTTCACTCACAAGATCTTGCTTGCTCTGTCATTGAAGAGCTTTCAGACACAGCTATCTATATACAACCATCTCAAAGAACAGAAAAGAGCATTTGACAAAGTGCTAAACCTTAAGAAACTTATTTCAGCCAGCTGGAGCCTATTGGTCTTTGAAATTAGAATTAACAAGGAGCAGACGCTGAGGGAATTTCATAAACCATCAACCCAATTCTATCTCCCTGGCAAAGTGGTTTTCTCATATCTGAATTTTAAAAAATTAAATAGTTAAAAGCTGCCACTTCCAGGCAGTAGAGACAGGCCTGATCAAATGAAAACCCCCAATGCCCAGCCATTGTGGGCTTAAGTCAACTCTAGGGTCTACTGCCAGAAGACTATCTGGAAGTAGGGCTAATGGAACAAGAATGATACAGCTTTGGGGGCTTCAAATAGAACTATAGCTAAGTCACTAAAAAGGGAAAGGAGCTAGAAAAAAGATGAATTATGGGAACATCTTCAGTATGTTCATATAAATAGAAACCTTAATCACCTCAGTTATACTCCCATTCCACAGTACCTCATCCTTCTTTCCTACAAAAAGCAGGGGGAAAATTTTTCTCCCATTTTAACTGCCACCAATAAACATTTTTTTTGCCTCTCTATTCTGAAACGCTTCCACTCCTAACCTAGCTCAACTTCACTACGATTCCCAAAACCCCAAGTTCTAGTAGTAATAATCTCCCCAAAATGTTACAACCTAATGCTGACCTTAGGATGGAGTCATTTCAACTATTATCCTCCCCTTATGTAGCAGTAGCTTGGCTGCTCAGAAATCCTAATTGCATCTCAGAGATCCAAAGTTTAAAACAAAAAGCTTTACCTCCTGTGAACACTCAAAACATAGGACTAGAAAGCCAGGACCCTCCTTGCATCTTCCCAAGAGGTGCGGGTTGTTTCAGCCTCTGGCGTATTTCCTTTATGCCTACAAAAGCCAAGTCTGCTATATTTGCTTTTCGTCATAGAAAAGCCTTTAAGTCTTCTTAAAATTGATAGCAGGAAACCTTTAATGAAGGTTACTTGTCCACAGCTTTAATTGGGTATTTTAATGAAAGCTTCAATTCACATTTAATAGTTAATGGGGTTTCTAAGCACAGCTAGTTAAAGCAAAGCACAGCAGGCTTACACGTTTAAATTCCTGCAAAGACTTTATTGGAATCACATGGAGGGCTGCTGCTCAAAAACTTTCATTTTCCCTCTTAAGACCACTTTTAATCTTTGAGTGTCCTTTTGGGACAGGGCAGGAAAAGGGGGCGGGGGCGGACGGCCTAGAGCCCAGCAATTTCTCATTAGTGCAACCTTGTTATTGGCTTGTTTTACAGCCAAAGAGAACTTTGATAAAAAGTTCTCACATTCGTCAACACCACCTGAGGCCCAAAGTCCAGAACAGCATCTTTCAACAAAATGAGCACTTCAGTATTTATAATACTGAGATTTAACCGAAAGTTTCTCTGCCATGCATTTCTCAACACGCACTTCTGAGCAGTGGTCTTCCATGCACGACAGCTGCAGGATAGGACAGATCAAAGAGTCAAGAGCACTATGAATAGGCTAGTCTATTACATCCCACAGAAACTCACTTCAAGGCCTGACCCCCAATAACCTATTCAAGATCAAGTAATAGGCCATTTTCGACCCTAGATTTGAACAAATCGTAACTAACACACACTTCTCCAACAGATTTATTAAAGGAATGGATTTTGAGGAGAAAAAACATGGGGCAGAGGTATGGAATAGAAAATAAATACAAATGTAAGCTGTTTTGCTAATTGTTTTATAACCACAACAAATTTGTACAGAGAATACCCTGCACAACACAGCACAACAAAGGTTCAAAGATCGAGGTGTTCCCCTAGGCAAGGCTGAAGATTTCAGTCTCTGGTATTTGGAATTTAGGCTGCAGTCCTTGGTTTTGGATGGATCACTGGGTGTGTGACACAGTCCATGCGTTTAACCAGATTTGAACAGAAGAATGGCCACCTGGCCCAGGTAGAAGTAGATGAAGTGTTTGGTTTCATGTGTCACATAACTACCGAAGTTCCTCCCCACGATGCAGTGCCAGGTGGGGTTGTACTTCTTGTCAAACTCCTGGTTGGGGGGGGGGTGGAGAGGGGGAAAGAAAAAGAACACTAGAATTTCAGTGCTAAACCAGAGGTCAGAATTTGCCTCCTAGATAAGCAGAGCCTGTAGGGGCAGAAAGAAGGAACGTTAGCATCTGCAAATTCTTAACATGAAAGAATGTTCCCCAGCTCCAAGTCGCCTACATAGTGCATTAATGCATACATACTTGCAGTCTGAGCTAAGCTGAGAATGGGGGCTGGGGAAGTAAAAGGCAGAAAGGGCAGCCTCAAAGACAGGGGCACTTTGTTATCATGGTAATTTCACCTTCATAGCTCCTAGGATAGGCTCCTTAATAGAGAGCAGGTGATAACAGTTCTAGTTTATCATGTTATGTGTAAACAAAACAAACGAAATTATCCTCCTGTAAGTCATGCACCACAACATCCAAAATGGTAAATATTTAGCCCCAAATACCCCATTCCCTAACTGCACTCCAGTATCACTGGAAACAAAAGATGTCCGAAGGGCAAAGCCTCAATTCGCATCTCAGCCACTGTGGATGCAAATTTAAAGGGCACAAGATACTCTGCAATCCACTGGTCCTACGAAAAGAACGCCAGAAGCAGAACCTGACAGTCACTTAGATTTTATCCTTAATTTCAATCCCGCTCTCTTCCACGTCTATCGTGATGGTGCTCATCTATCACCTGGTATACAAAGATAGCAAATTGCAGGAACAGCTTTCCCAATTTTCCTCAGCCAAAGGGGCTCTGAGAACTAGAACGACGGTGGTAATGTCCTCAGTAGGTGACTGTAGGGCAGGCGCCAAGGCCAATCTTTCTCTGTGTAATTCTTGCAAGTCTCGGTGAGGAGTTACACAAAATTCGGCTCTCACCGTATGCAGCATGAACATCTTTTACATGTACTGGAATAACATTCTTACAAGCTAGAGGAACCCACTGCTGCGTTTGTCAAAAAAGGTATTTCTGTTCCATCTGAAGTCTTTCATCTCCCCATTCTCAACTGGGAACCCTCACTGCCAGCTTCCTTCCCTTGCAGAAAACACAGCTCGGAGAAATTGGCAGTCCTGCCAGCTTTCTACAGACTGCCATTTACCAAGCCCTCACCCCAGCCCCCTAACCACCACTACCACCCACTTTCCTTCAACTGCCGACTAACTCCCCACTGGAAGGCTGGCAAGAGCTCCCTCCGGCCGGGCTGGAAACACCCACGCAGCTCCCCCTCCCCCCTCAGAACACCCAGATGGATCCTCCGCGCAGGAATCAAGCAGAAGAGGGGGAACCGCTGCTCCCTGATCCTAGAAACCGTTGCTAGGTGGCGCTTTCCCCCTGCGGAGCTGGGTAATAAAAAAACTTCGGGCGCGGAGGGTCTGGTCTTCTCATCAGGAGCGCAAAATTCATCTGCGTCCTTTCTGGAAACCTCTACACCAGAGGTGTCCTGCGTACCTCCAAGGATGTCTGCCACGCGTTCTGGGAGCTCAGGATCGGGGAGAAGGACTAAGTTGTGACTCGCCCCAGCTGCGCGCAAGCGGCCCGAGCCCCCCTGCCCGCGGGCCCCGTCCTCACCTTTTTAATATGGGCCGCAATGTCCTTCTCTATGTTATATTTCTCCAACGCCTGAGTTGCACACTCCACCGAGTCCTGTTGCATCTCCTCCGACATGTCGGCGTTTTTGATCACGGCCTTTCGGTCGCACATGGTTACCTGGGGGGCGAGGCCCGGGCAAGGGTGGGAGTTGGGGTGTAGGCTGCGCCTGCGAGGCGCCAGCTCCCCCAGCCCGCTCCTCCCGCCCCCCACCCCACTTCTCAGAAAGCGCGGGCCGCGCGGACCGAACAGCGGGAGAAGTCCGGCGGGAGATGTAACTAGGCAGCGAAGCCCCCCGGAGTCCCCGGAGTCTCTCACCGAGGAGCAGAAAGCGACCAACTGCAACGGTCTCCTGGGGGAGGGGCTGGCGACACTCACACCCGGCAGGAGATACGGTCGCTACCGAAGCCGTGGCGCATCTAAGGAGCCCCACGCCAGCCGCCGCCGCCTAGTGCCTAGGCCCCGCCCAGCTCCCGCCGGCCCCGCCCACCAAGGAACGTCCCCATTGGCTTGACGCAGCCCCCAGGACTCTCCCATTGGTCCATGGAGTCAATGGTTCCCTCAGGATCTTTCTCCAGCATTTTGTTGCAGACCACAATGCATCTGTCGCGGCGTCGGTTGCCCCGGCAATGGGCCGCACGCGGTGAGGCCCACACACCCCGAAGGTGGAGCTGGGGCAGGGTTGCGAGGACCACCCAGAAGACTAGAAGGGTGCGACGGGACTTTGAGCCCAAGCCAAGAGAAGTGGCTTCAGATTTTCGAAGGTTGTCTGCCCCAAGTTGTGTTCTCGAATATCTTGGGAAGTTGTGTGTGCTACGTATCCACCATGTCCACCCAATGTCCAAAGGTTTTAAGGATTCTGGCTGAGGTAGCCAGTCCTTTAACTTAAACGGCATCTCTGAAGCAGCTCTGACTTTATGGGCGAGTAACCAGGGCAGTCTCAGAAGACGGATCCCATGGCTTGGTTTAATGCTTTAATCTCTCATTCTTGAAATTTTTTTTTTTTTTTTTTTTTTTTAAAGCACGGGAACCCACATTTTCATTTTGCATTGGGCCCCACAAATTATGAACCTGGTCCTCTCTGAAATTTGGGGGATGGGGGAAAGGTCTTCAGGAATGGGAGAGGTTTTCTTATCCTGGCTGGGCAGCGAAGACTTCTTTAAGGGGCTAGGATTACATCTGGGTGGATTTGGGAGTGCTGATCCCAAGGTGTGTGTGTCCAGGGTGGGGCTTCTTGCTCAATGAGGCAGTCCTTCCTGTGTCGGAGTTTCTGGGTTGGGGATTTAACTCTCGGGCGGAAGTACCGTAAGGGATAGAAAGGTGTCCCTCAGAGGTATTTTCCTCTGGCTTTGGGAGACTAACCACTAAGTGGTTAAAAAAAAGCTAGGTCTTGGGAGTTTGGGGAGCAGGGTCAGATCAGGATTTAAATCCCAGCACTGTCATTTACTAGCTGTTTGAATCTCAGTTTTCTTATCCACGAAGGAGGACTAAATATAAAAGAAAACCACTTCTTGGCATGTTGAAAATATTAAAAGCACTGATGCTCTTGAAGTTCTTCGACGCAAGGTGTAGGATTGTATTCAGGGCTCAACGCATCTTATCAAAAACTATCAGCTTATGGAACTGTCCCAAGAGTCACAGCAAGATTTTGACCAATCCTTACATGCCTATGATGTGTTTTTGTACTTCCATAAACAAGTTCAGATTCATCATGCAAACAGAAGCTTTCCGTTTACATTTCTGCCTTTTCCTTCTTGACCATTACTCTTGTTATCCCAGAGCCCCTTATAGCAACTGGACAAGACAGGCACACAATTCCAAAGAGAAACAGATGGGAATAATGAAAAGAGGTTCAGGTACAACATATGCATATCAGTTAAATAAAATTAAGAGGCTTTTCCCAGTTCCAGGTTTCCCGTGGAGGGATTATGGGTTACAGAAGTTAAAATAGTTCTGTATGGAGGAAGAAGTTGGGTTGGCAACAGGGGCGAGGCTGGGTTAGTGCTTCTACCTGACTTGGGTGTATGATTCAGAGCTGTGGAATCTTCTTATGAGGTCAGAGCCTGAATTTTTCTTGGGGGCCTTTTTATGAATATGTTTACATTTACTTTTTGAAAAAAAGATTGAGAGAGAAAGAGAGGCTCAGGAGCAGGAGGGGTGGGGGTGGGAAGGGAGAGGAATAGGGAGAGGGAATCTCAGTCTCGCAACCCTGAGACATGACCTGAACCAAAACCAAGAGTCGGACACACAACTGACTGTGCCACTCAGATGCCCCTATATTTATTTTTCATGTTTTTTTTTTCATATATCTTTATCCTTCTGGTCTATGGCTTGGCCAGCTTCTCCTCATTTGAATAGAAGGACTTGAGAGTAAAGCATGTGCCATAATAAGAACAGCAGCTGTTTACTGAGTGGTTGTTTAGCCCCAAGTGCTTTCACTCAGTTATTCTTCACAACAGCTGGGCCTGGGATCCCTTTCCTCTGGTTTCCCTTTTGGCCTAGCTGTCTGCTCATTTGGATTTCAGCTCAAACGCCACCTTCCCTGAGCTCCCATCTCTACCTGCCACTAACCATCACCCTTTAGTGACTTTCTACAACACTTATATTTCCTCCATTGTACCTGCTTCATTTATTCCTTCAGAAGAATTATCTTGTATTTATTTGCTTGGTTATTGTCTCTCTGTCCCTGTCTTGCACCTTCAGCATCTAATTCAGTGTCTGCATTGACTCTAGACTATGTATTGCATTATATATGCATTGAATTAAAATTACCAGGTCTTCTATCGCCATTTTACAGATTAGGACGTTGACTTTCTCAAGGTCACATTGTTTTTTGTTTAAGATTTTATTTATTTATTTTTTTAAAAAAGATTTTATTTATTTATTTGTCAGAGAGAGAGAGAGGGAGAGAGAGCGAGCACACACAGAATGGCAGGCAGAGGCAGAGGGAGAAGCAGGCTCCCCGATGAGTAAGGAGCCCGATGCGGGACTCGATCCCAGGACGCTGGGATCATGACCTGAGCCGAAGGCAGCTTCTTAACCAACTGAGCCACCCAGGCGTCCCAGATTTTATTTATTTTTTATTTATTTAAGAGAGAGAGTGAGAGAGCAAAAGTGGCAGCAGTGGAGGGGGAGGGGCAACAGAGGGGGTGGCAGAGGGAGCAGCAGAGGGATTGGCAGAGGGAGAGGCAGAAGCAAGATCCCTGCTGAGCCGGGAGCCTGATGCAGGGCTTGATCCACCTGAGCCGACAACAGACCGACGACAGACCCTTAACCGACTGAGCCACCCAGGTGCCCCTCAAGTTTACATTGTTAATAAATGAATAAGTTCCAGGTCTGGATGATCCTAAAAATCTATTCTCTTTCTCTCTCTTTCTTTTCCTTTTTTTTTTTTTTAAAGATTTTATTTATTTATTTGACAGAGAGGAAGATCAAAGGTAGGCAGAGAGGCAAGCAGAGAGAGAAGGGGAAGCAGGCTCCCTGCTGAGTAGAGAGCCTGATGCTGCCGATCCCAGGAACCTGAGATCATGACCTGAGCCGAAGGCAGAGGCTTAACCCACTGAGCCACACAGGCACCCCATCTCTCTTTTTAATTGATTTGAGAGAAAGAATGCGAGAGCACAAGCAGTAAGTGGGGCCAGAGGGAGAGGGAGAACCAGACTCAGCAGGGAGCCCAACACAGGGCTGGATCCCAGGATCCTGGATTGTGACAGAGCCAAAAGCAGGCGCTTAACCAACTGAACCACCCAGGGGTCCCTGAATCTAATTTTTCAAGAGGGTGGGAGATCTGGGTTATTTTTGAGAGAAATATAATTTTTAAATGCTGGTCACAAATTGATTTCTTGAGATACAGTGCAGTAAAAAAAAAATATGGTGGAGTCTAGATACAGCATATGGTCCTCTCATTCAGCGGAATACTCTCTTTTTGCAACCAGAAGACAGACTCAGAGAAGGTTTAATAAAATTATATATATATATATATGTATATATATATATATATATTTGGTCTTTGTCTAGAATTCTTTTTTTTTATATATATTTTATTTATTTATTTGACAGATCACAAGTAGGCAGAGAGGCAGGAAGAGAAGGGGGAAGCAGGCTCCCCACCGAGCAGAGAACCCGACGCGGGGCTTGATCCAAGGACCCTGAGATCACGACCTGAGCCAAAGGCAGAGGCTTAACTTCCTGAGCCACCCAGGCACCCTGTTTGTCTAGAATTCTTGACACAAAGCTCTAAATACCCTTGGAGTGTTTTCTGGAATCTGCTTTTTGTTATTCATAATGAGCCTCCATTAACTACTGGTACCTGAGTTTATGCCAGTGAGGTGACTTTTTGTGGGAATGGGGCTGGATAGCTTGAGATATCTAGAAAGCTAGTCCCCAAAGAAACCGACCTTGTGATTAGAGGTTTAAAACTTTCCAACCCCCTTCCTCAGCCGTGTCCCCGACCCTGACCCTCCCTATCTCCTCACCTTTTGTGAGCAGAGAGGGGTTGGAGATTAAATTCAATCTCCAGTGGCCATGCCTGTGTAATGAGATCTCCATAAAAATTCCCCAACCTGGGGCGCCTGGGTGGCTCAGTGGTTAAAGCCTCTGCCTTCGGCTCGGTCATGATCCCAGGGTCCAGGGATCGAGCCTCACATCGGGCTCTCTGCTCAGCGGGGAGCCTGCCTCCTCCTCCTCTCTCTCTCTGCCTGCTTGTGATCTGTCTGTCAAATAAATAAAAATCTTAAAAAAAAAAAAAAATTCCCCAACCATGAACCATGAACCATGGCACCCCTGGAGAGGGCATGTAAACTCTGCACCCCCTCCCAATATGCATCTCTCCCATTTGGCTGTTCCTCAGTTGTCCTTTATAATAAATCTGTAATAGTAAGTAGAATATGTTCTTGAGTTCTGTGAGTTGTTCCACAGAATTATCAAAGCTGAGGAGGTCGTCATGGGAACCCCCCAAATTTTTAGTCTGCTGGGCAAAGTGAAGGCAGCCTGGGAACCCCATTTGCAGGGATACCTGAAGTGGGGGCAGTCTTTTTTTTTTTTTTTAAAGATTTTATTTATTTATTTGACAGAGATCACAAGTAGGCAGAGGCAGGCAGAGAGAGAGAGGAAGGGAAGCAGGCTCCCCGCTGAGCAGAGAGCCCAATGCGGGGCTCGATCCCAGGACCCTTAGACCATGACCTGAGCCGAAGGCAGAGGCTTAACCCACTGACCCACCCAGGTGCCCCCCCCTTTTTTTAAGGATTTATTTATTTACTTATTTTGACAGAGGCTGGGGGGAGGAGCAGAGGGCAAGAGGGTTCCAAGCAGACTCCCCACTGGGTGCGGAGCCAGGTGTGGGGCTTGAACTCAGGACCCTGAGATCATGACATGAGCCAAAACCAAGAGTCAGCCGCTCAACTAACTGTGCCACCCAGGCGCCCCTGAAGTGGAGGCAGTCTTATGGGACTGAGCCTTAG